GCTACTACTGCAGCACGCACTGCAGCACGAGCCTGCAAGTCCCCCGGCAGCAGCAAACAGCAGCGGTCTGGCAGCAGCCGCTGCTGCAGCAGCGCCACTGCCTGTGCCCGGGTCCTGGGGAAGCCGTCAAGCACCCAGCCATTCTGCTGCTGCTGCTGCTGCTGCTGCTGCTGCTGCAGTTGCTGCTGCTGCTGCTGCACCTGCTTCAGCACCAGGTCTATTACCAAGTCGTCCCGCACTGAGTACAGGAGCGCCAGCAGCAGCAAACTCGATTTATCTATTATTTATTATTTATTAATTTATTTATTTATGTATTTTTGTCTCATTTTAATGTTTAATTCATCTGTGTCTCCCACGCTGCTGCTTCTTCCTTCATTCCAAAGCAGCAGCAGCAGCAACTTCACTACTGTTAAGAACAGGCAGCAGCAACAGCAGCAGCAACGGCGAGCAGCAGCAGCAGCGGCAACAGCAACGGCGAGGAGCAGCAGCAGCAGCAACGAACAGCAGCAGCGGCAGCAACGAACAGCAGCAGCAGCAGCAACGAATAGCAGCAGCAGCAGCAGCAGCAGCAGCAGTAGCAGCTGCAGCGGCCACAGCAAAAGGCGAGGACCAGCAGCAGCAGCAACGAACAGCAGCAGCAGCAGCAGCAACGAACAGCAGCAGCAGCAGCAGCAGCGAACAACAGCAGCAGCAGCAGCAGCAGCGACAAGCAGCAGCAGCAGCAGCAGCAGCAGCAGCAAACGGACCTAGTTCGTTGGCAGCAACAGCTTTTGCTGCTTCGCTTTTGGGATGTTTTTCTGCAAAAGTTTTTAAAATTTGTTTTGCAGAAATAATTTCCAAACCCCACTTTTTCGCGAGATGTACAGACACCTGAGATCTGCTGCTGCCAGGCAGCCCCAGCACAACCACCGTTAGCGGGGGCCCCACGCGGCGCTGCTGCTGCTGCTGCTGCTGCTGCTGCTCCTGCTGCTGCTGCTGCTGCTGCTGCAGTAGCTCGCTGAGGCTGCTGCTGCTGCTGTTCTCAGTGTCTTGCAGCTGCTTCAAATAGTCTATTAAATACTGCAGCGGGTCCTGCGGCTGCTGCAGCAGCAGCAGCCGCAGCAGCTGCTGCAGCAGCTCTCTAAGGCCCTGCGCCTCGGCATACTCTTCGCATTTCTTCGCGAATTCTTTCTCAGATTCCATTGCCAAACCCTAAACCCTAAACCCTAAACCCTAATTTTTCAATCTCGCGACCGCGCGCTTATCTGTCTATTCCTTTTTTTGTTTCTTATTTTTCATATCTTACAAAAGAAACAAATAAACTTTATTTAAATTCTTTTTAATTTTATTTACACTCTTTCTAAATATGCAGCAGCAGCAGCAGCAGAAAAGCTCTTAAGACATTAGCTGCTGTAAAGACCCCATGGGGCCCCCGGGGCCCCATGGGCTGCTGTAAAGACCCCATGGGGCCCCCGGGGCCACCGGGGGCCCCAGGGGGCCCCAGGGGGCTCCAGGGGGCCCCCACGAAGCTGAAAAGAGGCCCCTGGGGGTCTCTAAGTTTGTTTTATGATTAAAAGATGAAAAATGGATTTATTTAAAACTCAAAAAGTGAAATTTTAAGCGCAGAATGCAGGAAATTGTACTGGAAGGAGCTGCTGGCTTGCCAGAGCGAGGTGACCTCGAGGGGGTTGTGAAGGCTTGAATAGAATAGTTTTATCTTAATTTATTTATTTATTTATTTATTTATTTATTTATTTATTTATTTAAACTTTTTTTAATTTTAAATCTTTATTTACCTCACTTCTCGAAGGAAAAGCGAATTTCGGCGCGCCAGACGTTGGCTGAGGTGTCTGCTGGGCATCGCGAAGCCGAAGTCAAACATGAAAAAGATGAAATTAAATGCATTTTAAACAACAAATAATTGAGAATAAATAGAAAGTTACATTTAAATTGATTATTTATTTAACAATAAGTAAATATATATGATAGTAAATAGACTCTGGCTGGCAGTCGTTCTCGCGCGTATCCTTTGGGGTGTACGTACACTCGAAACTTCGCACTTGCTGCTGCGGATTCTGACGTTTATTCGAAGCGATTTTCGCCGATATAAACGCAATTAGTTATTTATTTGCTTTTTGTTTTGTTTGAAAGGCAAAATGCAGCAGAAAGAACCCGAAAATGAGGCAAATCCTTCGGATTTGTCGCTGCGGACGAACAAGCTGCGATACTTGATTTTGCTGCAGCGCCTGGGTCTCGAGCTGCCGTCTGATGACGCGAGAATCCTTGTAGGACTTCTAAATAAAGAATAAATAAATAAATAAATGGAAATAAATGAAATAAATATTTATTTTATTTAATTTCATTCAATTCGTCACTTGTTCCGATGCATTTGCTTCTTCCCTGGCGTCTAGACACCGCAGCCCGCTGCAGCAAACTCGACAGCAACTGAAACTCTTTTTTCTTCTTTCGTTTTTAAGTCCATTTAATCTTTTTTGAACTTCCTGCCACATTTTTCACAAAAATACTTTCAAAATCCAATTATTTGACTCGCCAATCAATTTCTTTTTTATTTTCAAAATAAAAAATAAAACCATTTGGACCAGTGGTCCACTTTCCTCGCTGGCTGGTCAATGCCCGATGTAGAAAATGAATAAATAAATCTATAAAAGATAATTATCAACTAATTAATTAATTAATTAATTAATTAATTAATTAATTAATTAATATTTATTTACTTATTTACTCATTTATTTATTTATTTATTTATTTATTTATTCATTTGTTTATTTATTTAAATGGGCCAATTGCATGCGCGGAGTCGACGGACTTTGGCTCTCCGTAAATAAATTATTTTTCTTTTTTCTTTTCTACTTTTATTTTTATTCCTTTTCCTTTTCTTTTCTATTTTTTTTTTTACTTTTATTTTTATTTTTAATTTTCAATTTTTAATTTTTAATTTTTAAATTTAATTTCTTATTTTATTATTTTCTAGGATTTGAGGCGGCAGCTCCACGAGGTCACTGCTGAGCTCGACTTCAAAAAGGTCTCGTATGCCCAGGTCTGCTGCTGCTGCTGCTGCTGCTTCTAATGTTCCTGCTGCTGCTGCTGCTGCTTCTTATACTGCTGCTGCTGCTGTGCTGCTGTGCTGCTGCTAACACTGCTTATGTTACTGCTGTTAACGCTGGTGCTGCTGCTGTTGTTAATGTTAGCGGTGCTGCTGCTGCTGTTCATCCTAATGCTGCTGCTGCTGCGGCTGCTGCCAATGCAGCAGCTGCTGCTGATGTGTGGCTGCTGCCTTTGGCATTCTCGTGCTGCTGCTGCTGCTGCTGCCAATTGAAAAGAATCTAAAATAAAAAAAAGAAAGAACTAAATAAATAAAAGTTGGAAGCAAATAACGAATTGATTAGAATCATCATGAGGGCTGAGTGCTGCAGGTGATAGAAAAGGCCCGGCAGCAAGACAAGTCGCTGCAGCAGCAGCAGCAGCAGCTGCAGCAGCAGCTGCTGCGGTTCGAGAAGTTCATCGCCACCAACACCGAAAAGACCCTCCGAGCGAACCAAAGAGCAGCAGCAGAAAAGGAGACACTTAAGAAGAAGGAGACAGAATTAAAAAGACTAAAGAGAGAGTTGGAGCTGCAGGAGTTGCTGCTGCAGCAGCAGCAGCAGCAGCTAGCGGACTGTGGGTCTGCGGGCCAGCTGCCAGGGCGCCCCGGAGGCCCCGGAAGCCCCACGCCCCTCAAATAAAAGCTAAATAAACGCAGAATTAAATGGAAAACAAAAAAATAAATAATTAATTCAAATTAATTGATTAATTGCGAGTTAAATACGCGAAAAAGGGGAAAAAACGGCGGGAAAACGGCGAAATGCTGCAGCAGCGCGAATTCGCGGAGTTTGCTGCAGGCTCGGACCCCCAAGAGCTGCTTTTTGCTGCTGCTGCTTCGAAGCAAAGTGTCTCCTCGCAGCAGCAAAGTGTCTCCCCGCTGCAGCAAAACGTGTCCTTGATGGAGCTGCTGAAAAGGGCCTTTTTGCTGCAGCAGCTGCAGCAGCTTTTGCGCAAAAAAACCCGAAAGTCCCAAACTGCTGCTGACGAACTCCGCGCGGAGCTGCAGGCCCACAGGCGCGCCCTCGAAGCCAAAACGGTCGTCAGCAGCAGCAGCAGCAGCAGCAGCAGCAGCAGCAAATATCAATTTCTTTTCTTTTCTTTTTCTTCTTCCATGCCACTCTTTTTCTTCTTTTCTTTCGAGTGTTTTTCTTCAGATTTATTTTCTTTTTTTTCAAGTTTTGGCGTTTTCCCCTCTTTTCTATTTTATAGTTTTTCTCTATTTATTATTTATTTATTTATTGTATTTCCTTATTTTATGTATTTGTTTTATTTATTTTTTTGTTTACTTATTTATTTGTTTATTCATTTATTTATCTGTTTGTTTGTTTGTCCGTCTACTTATTCATTTTTCTTTTTATTTTTCTAATTTAATTTTATTTATTTTACTTTTCATCTCTGTCTCGCTTCTTTTGCTGCTGCTGCTACTGCTGCTTCGTTTGCTGCTGCTGCTGCTTTTGCTGCTGCTGCTGCTTCTTGTGCGACTCCTTCTTCTGCTGTTTCTTCTCCGTTTGTTTCTCTTCGTGCTGCTTCCGTTTCTTTTGCTGCTGCTGCTGTTTCCCCCGCTGCTGCTGCTGCTGCTGCACTTTTGTTGC